TTTTAAATTTTTGTTTTTATTATTAAGTATAGTTTTCCAGTAATTTTTTTTTAGTAGATCTTGCTGCTATATAACCTCCAATGGAATCTTAATAGTGGAATCACTAGGTCAGAGAGTATAAATGTCCCTGCAACTTTTATTATGCAATTCCAAATTGTTTTTCAAAAAAAATGGAACCAATTCACAGTTCCACCAGCAGTGCATTAGTGTGCATGTTTTTCATCAGCACAATGGTACCAAATATCATCTCTCATTATCTGTGCCAATTTGATGGTTTTCTCAGGGATTTATTAATTTTCATTTCTCTGATTATTAATTTGAATTTTTTCACATGTTCATTGACAATATGAATTTATTTTTCCAAGTCCTGTCTGTTCATGCCCTCTGACCACTTATAGTAGGGTTCTTAATTTTTGTGTGTCTGTCATGAATATCTGAGGCAGTCTGGTGAATCAAAAGGACCCCTCCTCAGAATTATTTTTCAATAATTGAAAAAGAATGCTAAATTTCAGGTAGATGTTAATGAAAATAAATATGTGATTTTACCCATTCCCTCCCCACCCAAATCTATACACTTTAGGGGTCTGTGGACCCCAAGTTAAGAATCTTTGACTCTGAAAGAATTTATTCTGATAAATGTGTGTCAATTCAATGTAAGTTTTAGATATCATTTTTGTCAGAAATGTGTATTGTAAAGACTTTTTCCCAGGTGAATGTCCTTACTTGCTCTAAACTCATTTTATTTTGCAAATTTTTATACATCTTTCATAAATTTTTTCTTTAAAGATAGTTAAGAATCTTCCTTTTCTCCAGTTTTAGAAGACACAACACTCCTCTCCACTATGGTCCCCTAATTTTCTTTACCGAGTCATTTTAATAATTAGATTGTTGATCTACTTGGAATTTGTTCTGGCATGAAAATTCTTAGGTAAGAAGATCCTTAGAAATGAAATGAAACTACGCTGTGGCTAATTCTCTTTCCTATCTAGATTCGATGTCATGCCCCAATATGGTGCCTTTTATATGTTAGAGGGCTGGATGAAAAGTTCCTAAGGATCTCTGATTTTAGAAAAGGAACCTAAACTAAGGTATGATGAAAAGTGATACTAAGTGAACAAGAGAGAGGGAGTGTAGGAAAGGGGCCTCTCAGGATGCTAAGATATATCTTCCACTTTTACCACAGGTGCTTCCCACCTGGAGAGCTGATCTACAGATGTTTTCAGACCAGAAGTTGAAGACCTGACTAGCCATGCTCAGTTAACAATTTCAACCACTTTCCTTAAAATCAAATTTGACCATAGCTGTCCATTATTTTTAACTGTTCCACAACTACCATAAAGCTCTCTAAGTGGGGTTAACCGTGAAGGCCAACCAAGGCTGTGATCATACTTCATTTATTTGCAGGTGGTATCAATATGGAAGACTTAACACCAGCTGCCCATTGACACTACCTACGTCACAGAACTGTTGTGAAGAGAGTGTTGGGGACTTTTTTTACTTTGTAGCCATATAAATATGCTGTCATTTTTATTTTTACCCTTACTGGTATTTTTATTCATATGTAACTTAAGTTGAGATAAATACTGCCTCTAATTTGGAATCCAGTAAACTGTCTTCCTTTGGGACCTATGTATCATGTTCGACCAAGCAATGGAATGTAGCAACCCTACTACTCCCATTACTAATAGTTACCAGGGAATGCCTAGGAACCAGAAATGGGCAGCATAAAGTCCTGCTTCCAAATTCATGTCTTCCTTAACTAACAGAAGTTTTAGATTCCTAGATATCTGGGTTTTTGTAGAAACCTACTTTTTCTAAGCAGTCTACTTAAATACAAGATAATACCATTTACCTTCTTAAATCACCTCTGCAAAGTGGTGATTTGTTTCAATGTAACTTTATAAATATGTACCAGCCTTTAACAAGATTTTTCATACTATAAAATTCCAGCAAAAGAAATTGAAGCCCTTTGAAATTAAGTAATCCTTTCATTTTTGAAGGCACTGGAATATTTTTCTATTAAATAATCCAGTACTTTGTAGTGGGTTGTTTTTTTTTTCTAATGGACTTAATGCACACTTGATACAGTTATTAAGTGACATATTTCAAGGTTCAAAGTAAAGAATACTTGGTCAGTAATCAGAGGATTTGGGATGAAACCCAGGTCTTCTACTACTACTTGTGTGGCCTTGCGTAAATCATCTCTTATTTGGCCTCAGTTTCCTCATCAGTAAAATAGGAGCTTAGGTTAGATGATTTTTGAGCTCTCTTCCAGCTCTATGATACTATAATCCATTTATGTTTTGCATACAAATATGTGGCTTTATATACAAATATAATATACAAACATTCAAGGACCCCTAAGATTCTACATCCAGGTAATGTTTATACAATGAACATGTTGTCATAGCAGAGGCAGGTAGGTGGTGCAATAAAGAAAGCATTGGACCTAGAGTCAAGAATACCTGAGTTCAAATCCAGCCTCAGGCACTTATTAGCTGTGTTACCCTGGGCAAATCACTTCTGTTTGCCTCAGTTTCTCATCTGTAAAATGGGGATAATAATAGCACCTCCTTTCCATGTGGTTGTGAGGATTAAATGAGATAATACTTGTAAAGCACCGTGTCTACCACATAGTAAGTGCTATATAAATGTTAGTTATTATTATTCTTGTTATTATTATAGCAGTTTTCAAGCACTGAAACTCAGCACCCTTTAGATCAGTAGTCCTCAAAGTATGGTCCACAGACTGCTGGGGACCCTTGGGGACCCTTTTCAGGGAGTTTGTGATGTGAAAACTATTTCCTTAGTAATGCAAAGATATTGCCTATTCAAATACTCCTCTCCTTTTCAACTACATATCTGTATGAGGCTTGGTTTTCTTCATATATCTCAACCAAAACAACAAATCACAACAGACTAAATGCAAAAACAGAGTTAAGAATCCAGCTGTCTTCTATTAATCCAGATACTAATGAGATTTTTTTTAATGTATAAAACGATGCCACTCTTCTCATTTACTTTTTTTGTTTTGGAAAATTTACTTGTTTTTTTACAAAAATGATACTTATGTTAACATATAGTGAGTTAATTGTTATTTTAAACATCTCGATATTTTTTAAAATATCCATTTTAATTTCTAGTATGGCAAATACTGACAGATATAGCCCACATAAAATGAAAGCTCTTTGGGGTCCACAATAATTTTTAGGAGCATAAAGGGATCCTCAGACCAAAAAGTTTGAGATCTGCAGCTTTAAGTAATATACAAATAATGGGACTCTCTAAAGCAGAGGTGTCAAACTCATGGCTCATGGTAAAATTCCCTGTGAGGTCAGAACCAGATTAAAATGTAATTAATAATTTTTTTTAAAAAAATAAATAAAAATACAATACGATATAATGTTAATTTGTCATTTTCTAAGACAAAATGCCACAACAGGTATCCATATCTATTTGAGTTGGACACTACCAGACTACATGATTAGACCTGAGAACTAATAGAAACTGTGCTCCTCTAGCCAAACAATTAGAGGATAAAAATTTTACATTGTTCTGCATTTAGATGTTGAAGAAAAAAGATACTAAGGAAAAGATTAAGGGACAAATAATAAGAACTCACATTTATATAAATTTTAAGGTTTAAGGCTTTTTTTTTTGCTTTTAGGCAATTGGGTTTAAGTGACTTGCCCAGGGTCACACAGCTAGTAAGTGTCAAGTATTTGGTCTGAGGCCAGATTTGAACTCAGGTTCTTCTGACTTCAGGGCAGGTGCTGTATCCACTGCGCCACCTAGCTGCCCCCTGTTTAGGGATTTTCTTGACAACAAAAAGGTAAGGAAGATGAAAAACAGCATGGTATAGCATACAGCAGACTTGCAATCTGGGTTCAAATTCTGCCTCAGATACTTACTAGCTGTATGATTATTAGCAATTGCTTAACCTTCCTAAACCTCAGCTTCCTCATATGTAAAATGTAGATAACAAGACCTACCCACATGATTATATAAAATGCCTTGCAAAACTGAAAGCACCATAAAATGTCAGCTACTAGTATTATTATTAGTGCCAACATTATTATCCTCATTTTACAGGTAAAAAAAAAACAGGCTCAGAGATCTTAAGTGACTTGTCCACAGCCACACAGCTTTGTAAGCACTCAGAATAGAACAGATCGTTGCTGTTCCTTCACAGAAACCACTACTATGGCAGATGTCTGATACAAAAGTAGACTGAGATGGCATGTGGGAATACTCAACAGATCTGTGATTTTGTCAGCACAGGGAACTCCCTCCACCAACACAAACTGCTACTTGCCTATAACTTAGTATGAGCTTCAAAAATGTCAGATCTGGCAAATGGATCAACGGAATGTTACCAAATTGACACCAGATACAAAAAAAATAAATAAATAAAAAGGAAAGAAACAAAAGAAACAAAATCCCAAAACCTACAAACACTCTTTATGATGAATAATATCAAAAACTAGACTTTTTAACTAAACAAAAGAATGCAGTCTTTGAATCTTCTTAGCTAAATTCAGTCATTAATACTGCACTTTCTCAACAAGGAGGGGCTATTAAATCCTTGGCAAAACTCTAAGAACCAAAGCCTCAGCTGTCACATCTCTTTTGACTTGCTTATTCCGTAAACTCTTTTTTCCCCTTTTCTGGACCTCTGGATACAAAACAAATAGCACTCAAAGCTTCACTGTGGCTCAGAAGTGATAGGAAATTCACACTACACAGCTTACTAGTACAATAACCATGTTTAACCAGAAAGTATAGAATGTAAGCAGAGGAACTTAGTGGGAGACAAGAAAACCATGTATTAACATGTAAACTGGTCACTATGACATGAACATCTTCCCAAAGCCTTCTAAAGTTCATAACTCCAGGTCTAGCAAGGACATGTGTGAAGATTTGAAGACAGAGGAAAGACATAGTATACTTTTCCAAAAACTAAAAAGAGACAAAGTTTAAGGAAGCCAAACAAGTATTACCTTCAACATCACAACTTAGGTAGTTGCGTACTTCACTCAAGATGAAGTTAATGTCTTCCTCCGAAGGAATAGGATGTGAGGTGATATCAGTTGGACTATCAGTTGTCCCAGCTATGGTCATCTTTTGCCAGGGTAAGAAGAAAATAACTCGTCCATCACTAGTGGCAGGGTCAAGCAGTCCCATACTCTCTGGGCTGAAGTAAAGAAAAGAGTTACTCATTTCTGAACTGGTACAAGAGAAACTGGTTTTATAAATCTCTAAAGGGCAATTTTCATCCACCATTCTTAAGCATCCAAATGACTGCTTTCACTTTCCTTTTCTATTTGAAAACCTATAAAAGAAGCAGCTTAACAAGGATTCCATGGGTATTTCTACTTAAGTACTTTGTTCAGGCCCAGAATTTTAATGAATGACAATGGAAGATGATGGTCCCCAAATAGTAAAGAAGGTTAAATAAGAAAAGTCACATTTAAAAAAAAAGTTTTATCTTTTATTTTCACACCAGCTTCATTTCCAAATATATCTTCTTCCCTCCCAGAAAGTCATCCTTTATAACAAACAAGGAAGAAAAGGGGAAAAAACTGTTTAGTAAAATTAACCCATCAACCAAAGGCAACATTGTATGGAGTGTTCCACACCCATAGTACTCCCGTACCTCTACAACTAAAGGAGAGAGGTGCAGTCTCATCTTTTGAAAGTCAGATTTTCAAATTATCAACTATATATAAATATATACGTATGTGTGTATACAGGTAGTGTGTATATATATATATATATATATATATATATATATATATATATATATATATAATATATATATATATATATGTGAATTTTCCTAAAGTCGTAAGAATCTGTTTATCAAAAGGAAATATTTTTGACATCACTTTTTAATTGTTTTGGTCCCCATGCTTGCTACCTGGAATATCCATATAGCATACTGGCTCAGGCCAAATGCCCATGGTTTTTAAAGAGATGAATTAGGGGTAAATAGTTCCTCAATCTCTAAAGTATGATGAAAAGTTTTCCACTGGAATATTGGCAACTTGTTAGTGAAAGGTCTCCAGAGGATATGCAAAACAAAGGCTATAATATATACCAGAAACTGATCTGAAATTAAATTCTTCACTCCTTTGGGCATGGGTGTAATCTATGTCCCTTTACAGCTTCGGGTAGAGTTCTATTGCTACCATGAAACTAAGATAACTTAAATAAATGGTTTCATGGGAAAAGAGATTTCTTCTATTATAAAAATCCCAATAAGCTTGATTTAGCATAGTGCTTTGCAAAGAACAAGTATTTGGTGGATTTTTTTAAAAATTAAATTGATGCTGAGATAAACATCAGAAGAGAGGGCAATGAATGCCAAAGTAAAGGTAAATTATGCTCACCAGCCAGAACAGCCTTCAGAAAACATAGGCTTTTTAATGAATTTATTTTTATTCATTCACTCCACTAATTAGCATTTATCAAATACCTACTACGTGTCAGGCAAAAAGAAGAAACATTGCAACCCTCAAGGAATGTGCTCTCTATCAGGTAAGAAAATATATACATATAAAAACATACATAATTTTTCCCTTTTTGGTCCAGACCAGTGATTTCTTTGGTGCAGAAAATGTTTAGTATGAAAAACAGACTCCTACCAATGCAGGTCTAGACTTGCTGTGCCACTTTGAGTCTTAGAAAGCTGCCTGGGAACTTAGAGCCTAAATGACTTAGTGATAGGACAGTTATGTAAGTCAGATGCACAACCTGAACAAATTAGGAAGGACAGAGAAGAAGAGGAAAAGAGAAAGGATAAAACAAAGGGAAGGAAATAGAATCCACTAAATGCCTACTATGTGCCAGACACTGTGTTAAGGGCTTTACAAATTTTATCTTATTTGATCCTGACAACAACCCGGGGAAGTAGGTGGTATTACATTATATATTTTACAAGTGAGGAAACTGAGGCAAGAAGAATGTTACTTGCCCAGTGTTACATCACTAGTTAGTATCTGAGGTTGGATTTCCCTGAATAACATCACAAAAAGTAAGTAGATATGAGTTGCTTGGGGTCTCTCAAGTTCATTTTTTAGATGAGAAAACCTGCCCAGAGTCATACAGCTAGTGAGTGTCTGAGGAAAGATTTGGATTCAGGTCTTCTTGATTCTAGGCCCAGTGCTCTATCCACTGCACCACCTAGTAACCTGTTCTTTGCCGTATTCATTTTTGTTCAGACAGGCACACCAATCTTCCATGGATTGAAAAGGCTTTACTGGACTTGTGAAATGCCTGTCCTGGGTTCCTGGTTTTTGGTAAATGAAGCCTTTCTTTTAGAGCTTGAGAGACACCAAGCAACTCATTTCGATCTCCTTTTTGTTATGTTATTCAGGGAAAGCCAGCATTGCTCTTCAACAAAATGCAGAACTTTCTACAGTGATGTTTCAAACATTTGAACCAATACAGCTAAAATCTCACTTTTATTCAGATGTAATCTAGAAGAAAAAATTTTTCTTACTAGACTTCTTAAATTAAACTATAAGCATTATGCCTATGTGGTGCTCCCATCATGAACTACACTTGGAAAGATTATATATATGGTTCTCTGGAGACTAAGCGTACCCTTGAAATAATAATTTAAAATTGATAATAGCTAACATTTATCTGCTTACTATGTGTCAGGCACTATGCTAAGGACTTTACAATTATTAACTCATTTGATCCCCACAACACTGGGAGATAGATGTTATTATTATCTCCATTTTACAGATAAGGAAACTGAGCCAAACAGAGTTTAAGTGACTTGCCCAGAGTCACAAAGCTAGTGAGTGTGTCAGACCAGATTGGAACTCAGGTCTTCCTGACACCTACCCCAGCACTCTATTTATTGTACCACCTAGCTGCTCAAAATATTTGCTTCAGATCCAAGGCTATATGAAGATGTCTGTGCAGGTATTCCTATCTGAAAAGCCATTTTTCATTTCCTGAAGCATTCCATTGAGTTGGGTTGGTGAGGTGGGTGGCGGTTATCAACATTCCTCGGCAGGAGGACATTCCTGCTACAACTCCTCTCCTTGCTGAGAATCCTGACAAGCATCCTTTCAAGGGAGGCAGAGGAGAAGTAGCTGGACTGGACAAAAGGCATCAAAGTATTTAGAGAATTTTGCCTATTTGGTTGGTGGCTCTAGCTCTAAATGCCATTTGCTTGGACTCTGGGGAAAGGGAATGTCTGACTGAAGTTTGGGATTTTTCAACATCAGGTATGGTTTCACCTGTGAAGGAGCTGATTTTTAAGAAGAAAAGCTGCTCAGTTCAGTGGTTTGGAACTTGATACTCATAAAGTCATAGGCCCATTATCAACACGTACTGAACATCTTTCAGTTGTTCTGTAGCTGCAGATTGCAGTCCTGATCCTGTCCACCCAACCATATACCATATATGGACTCTGGTTAATAGGGCACACAATCAGAGAGCTGGATCAGAGCAAATATATCACAGATATTCATATAATATTAATAATAACATCATCGTCATCATCAACAATAACAACAACAAAGGTAATAGTGGACAGAGCATCAGAGACAGGAATACGTAACTTTAAGACCTGACTTTGCCATTTACTGAACTGTGCGGACATCGGTGCCACAAGTATAAAATCAAGGGTTTGGTTTAGATGGCCTCTAAGGGCCCTTCTAGCTCAGAATCAATGATCCTATAATACAGTTATCCCTTCCACATCATGGGGATTAGGGACATAGTACTCCCACGACCTGGAAAACCCACATAAAATGTTTTGGCCCTCCCTTCATATCAGAGAAGCAGTCTAATTTTTTTCTTTATCTTTCGTGGGGTGTTTACAGTACCTTATTGTAAAATTTAGGTTGATATTATACAATACTATACCTATATTTTATATATTTCTGAGTTTCCAAACTTTTTCTGTGTCATCTGCTGGCCTTTGTGTGTGGTCTGTGGCTTCTGCAAAACTCCTCCCAAATTCCCATTTAATTTCTTACGCTGACCCACGATACGTGCTGATGTTAAAGGATAACTGTAAAACAATTCACATTTATATGGTACATTAAGGTTTAGATGGCACAGTGGATAGAGTGCCAGGCTTGGAAACAGGAAGACTATCTTTCTGAGTTCAAATCTGGCCTCAGATACTTACTAGCTGGGTGACCCAGCGCAAGTCACTTAAAACTATTTGTCTAGTTTTCCTCATCTGTAAAATGAGCTGGAGAAGGAAATGGCAAACTACTCCAGTATCTTCACCAAGAAAACCCCAAATGAGGTCGCAAATAGTTGGATATAACTGAAAAACAACTCAACTACAACAATTAAGGTTTTGCAAAGGACTTTTGTCCCAACAATTCTGTGAAAAAAAAGTAGTGAAACATCATCTCCATTATATATATGAGGAAACCAAGGCTTATAGATTAAATGACTTGCCTATGATCACACAGTTAATAAGTGTCTGAGACATGATTCAAACTTGAATCCCTGACCTCAAATCCAGCACTCAACCTACTGTACAGCCTCAGTCAATATTCACTCAGTAAATATTTACCAGTTTCTTGACTTCTTACCACTCATAAGATATTGTAACATATTGTAGAAGATACAAAGAAGCTGCTAGTTACTGCCTGTGTGACTTTTCTGTGGTCAGTTTTCTTTATTTGGAAATGACAAGTGGTAACTAAGTCTTCTTACACCTCTGATTTCCATGAGACAGCTCTAAATCACATGACCTGGAAAGCAGTGTGATATAGCTGGATTTTGAGTCAGAAAAAAACTGAGTTTGAACACTGACTAGTTGTGGGACCATAGGTAAATCACTTAACCTTTATGGACCTCAGCTTCCTCACCTGCAAAATGGGAATACTAATGCCTATAACATCTACCCTACAGGATTGTTCTGAATCTCAAATGAGATATTGTATTTAAATGCTTTGTAAATTGGATGATAAATCATCACTTTTAGCTTTATGATTAAATTTTCCTTCCATATTTGTATGGTAAAACTTTTTTTTCATTCTAGAAGAACCCAGAGAGTATGTTTTATGTGTACACACACACACACACACACACATATACACAAACTTTATTATTCTAAAGAGATACTCCCTGAGAACATCAGGCACTATGAAATGGGGAATTAATTTTTCAAGCTACAAGGATACATATTGTTTGGGGAAACTCTTTCATTGAGCTGCACGGGTTAATATCACATCATATTTTCAATGATGCATATATACTGACTCATTAGCAACAATAGAACCAAGAACATTATCTAGGATTATATTTGTGTGGATAGTTACTTTATATTGTTATATTCTTAAAATATACTGCCTTCTTTGGTTTAAATACTTAATTATTAACTGAACATTCCATATTTGGTAACTTAAGTATTAAATATCACTATAAAAATACAACCACAAAATCCTTTAAAACTGTTAAAGGCAGTAAAAAAGACTTTTAAAGGGTGAAGGTGATGCTTAACAATACACTTATATAACAGGGAACAGGAGAGAAGCAATACACCAACTACCTAAGTAAAGACATATGTTTTGGGCTTTGAATTAATGAGAGGAAAGGGAAGATAAAGCTATTAATGATGGATATTAAAATTTAAGAAGCCACTAGGAAATACTCTAGAGCAACTTTTACACTGACTAATTCATACCCTTACTGAGAGAGAAAAATCTGCTTACAATGAAGAAATAATTTTGTAAGATTACGCTAAAGTTTTACAATGGATGCTCCCCCTAGTTAAAATCTGCACCAAGGAGAGAGACATAGACTCTGTCCAATGCACATGAATCATTTTGTACCAAGAGAAAAAGCTTGTTGTTAATTTATGTGTGTGTCTGAGTCTAAATGCAATGAACATTTTTCTCATGCAGACCAGTGCTTTGCTGAAGTAGCCTAATTTAAGCTGAAATCAATTTATTGTTAACTACTTAGCAATCAGTGGGATAGCTAACAAACAGTATGTGAGGATAGACCCAGTTTAGGGAGAACAAAATAACATAACCACTAATCAGCAGTAGGAAGCATTTGCTGAAGAGATATGGTTATTCAGCTATATAGATTTCAGTCACTTAGTGCCTTTGTAGCGAGCATGACCTGGGGAGTTCAAGTAATTTTTAAAAAGGATTTTTTTTCAAATTTTCTACCTTTCTTGTAGAAATGAGAAGAGTGCACACCCAACTACCTTTTCTACACTGACTTTGTAGTTTATATAAGATGATGGCACACATAACACATTACTTAGGTCTTCCTAAGTTTAATAAATTCTACAATAATACAGCCAAAAGCAGACACTCTTATAATCCTCTAAGCTCTGTAGGCAGTAATCGGAAAATGTGAATGGAAGACATATACCTCACTGAATTCCCAAGCTGATCTAATTCTGGCCCAGCTCTTGGAGCTGAGTTGTCATCAGTCTGGCTGAGGGCTTCCCCAGACAGTTCATACCAGCCCTGGCTCACCTCTAAGGATGTCGGGGAAAATAAGTTTGAGTTAGATTAGTGTGACAAGTCATGGATTGGCAGGCCCAGAGTTCAAATTCAATCTCCTGTTTCTTCACCTCACCAAATAGAGTGACCTTGAAAACAAAAACAAACCTATCTTTCTTGGATCCAGAGAACTATAAATTGACTATCTGCAATCACTACTTACAGTGAATCCTTTGGTCCTAACCTATTTCCAAAAGCATGGGACTTATCTGGAATTAAACTGCCTTTTGAAATTGATAAATTGAATTAGACTGGTTGTATTCTGCTCCCATAAAGTTTCCAATGCAGGCAACAATGAAGATTTCCAAGATTGCTTCTGTCACCTTAATCAGTATCATATTTCTGGTCATTGATTAATGCCTTCATGAATTTGGGAAGAGGAGAGAGGAGGAAAAAAACTATATAAGGTAATGAATGCCCCATGTTCAAGGTTATTACAACGCAACAGATTTTTTAATGTAATGAAAATAAAAAGATTACTCATCAGAAGGTAAACTTTAAGTACCTGAAATACCACAGAAGAGCCTGGAGAGTATTTACTGAAGCAAACTCTTCATTGAAAAAAAAAGGAGTGAAGGGGGGGGAGTGGGATGAAGAAGACAACTAAGGCAGACAACTGTAATGTGTTTGCACTTAATTATTTTTCCTTCGTGTCCCAAGAGGGATTCAGTCTGGAAGGTAAGAGATTTGATGTTTGTTTTTTCCAACCATGATTGTGATACAAATACAAAAGGCATCCATAAAGTATTTAAGCAGGTAAATATTAGACCCAATCCAAAGAAGTCTGTTTTCTAAAGAATTAAATGCAGTAAGATACTTCACCTATAGGTGGCGCAGTGAATAGAACACTGGGCTTGGAATCAGGCAGATAAGAGTTCAACTCTAATCTCTACTAGCTATGCGACCCTGAGCAAGTCACTTAACTCTGCCTCAGTTCCTCATTTATAAAATGAGCTGGAGAAAGAAATGCCAAACCACTCCAGTATCTTTGCCAACCAAACCCCAAATGGGGTCATGAAGCGTCAGACATGACTGAAACAACTCAATAAGAAAAAAAATGTAAGCTCTTTAAGGGCAAGGAGAGTTTCATTTTGTCTTTGTATTGCTCATACCTAATGCAGTATTTTGAATATAACAGGCAGTTAATAAATGTTTATGGAATAAGGTGGGTGGCCCCTCTCCCACCTGTCCCCAAGACTTTCCTTACAGTGAGACTGTGTTTAATTCTGCCCAAATCTCTGTCACTCTCTGTCTCTGTATCTCTCTCATGTAAAACATGATAATACCAAGAACAACCTAAATAGGTATTTCAGTATAAAGGAAGAATTCCTAAACTTAGTTAAATTGAAACAATTCCAGTATATTCATGTTCAAGATTATTCTGAGCAAATAAACATACAGGACCAAGTACCCTTGTAAAGAGACCACAAATCTCTACCCCTAAGAAATTAATCTTCTCATAATTAACTAAGAACTGTTAGACTACATTTATCCTCTATTCCACTTTTCTTTTTAAATGCACTTTTAAAAATGTATCATAATAGAGTTGAATACCCAAATGAATCCTTTTTGTTTGCATATCATAAGAGAATTGTTTACTACATTTCCTTCTTTTTAAGTAGCTAGCCAATTTTACTTATTAGGAAAGGTGGGTCAAAAGACAAATATAAAAATTATGCATGGTCTTTGGGGAATCTCACTCATTCTAGCTACAAACACCGACTACTGCAAAAGGTTGATCTTGGAATCTGGTTACCTGTAATAACCAGGCATCACAATGTGAACCCCAGCACTTGGCTGACAGATGTTTGTGGTGGTCTGATTATCCATTTTGCGCAGTGTGTCTGTGAAAGGTCCCGTAGCATTGATAACACATTTGGCTCTCACTTCAAATTCTTGCCCTGTGAAAGAAAACAGCATCAATCACAGACCCCATTTGTTTCTCTGCTCACTGATGCTTTGGATTATTAATTTATCTATTAACTTAACCTATGGTGAAGTATATTGTATGCCACATTAAGTGACATGAGCAGCTGGAATCACTGAAAAAGCAGTGCAAAAGGTTCCCATGTGGGTTATTTTACACACACACACACACACACACACACACACACACACACACACACACACAGAGCAAATGCCCAAAATGAAGCAAAGAAAATATTTGACTCATTTCATTTGGGCTCCCATTCTAATTTGCTGAAATATCCAATATTAGAGAACCAAATCCCAAGAAACCACAATGAGAAAACAAGCTGTTTCCTTCTTTAAAATGAAGTTCCTAAACAAGGATGTCATCAGATACTTTCAGAGTATTAGTTTTGCTCAAAAGAAGGATCCAGTTACGAAGCCTTTACCATACTGCCGAAGAACCAGAACATGAATGAAAGCCTGACAAGTTAAAGACACCACTGTGCTTTGGAAATGCTCTGCCTATGTCATCTAAGTGATATTTAAAAATTCAACTTGCTTACTTCATTTTATTCATAACATGCTTCTGTGAAAGCATTCTTAGCTGAGGGAATCTTACCTGGGGATTTTTTTTTTAATAGCAAGCCCTCCTCCCCTGAGGGGAAAAAAAAATCAGTGAGACCTATAAAGGCAATTTTTCCTGTTCAACCACAGTTAGAGAGTAATGAATGGTATGAATGTGATTCTGAAATCTAGCTTAAATGAGAGTGAGGTGATGGACAAAACTATAACAATTCAATAATTACATGAAGCAAAGACAGGGAATGCACATACCTGTTAGCATATCCCTGCACTGTGCGCCACTCACACGCAGCTTCCCAGTATGTGGATCCTTCTTCTTCAACAAATTCCTCACTTCAACATAATTGGCCGTGGCAGCCCCATACCTGGCAGCAGTGAGTGCAATGGCAAGGTTCATCCTTGCATCATTGTGCTGTCCTGCAGCAGGGGAAGGAATCAAAGGAAGGACATGAGTCACCTCGAGCCACTGACTTATGGTATGGAAGTATGTCACAACAGATCTATCACATCTGTCCCTGTCACCCAGAATATACATGATGGCTGGTCAGATCCATCAGGGATTATTTAAAGATACATGGTCTATTCTAGGTCAGGGCATTACCCCAATAGTTAGCAGTAGCAAATGCAATGTTATACACCACAGAGATAGATAACACCACTGTTCTGCAGAGCTGACATCAGAACCCAAGAAGATTTAAATAACTATAATTATTATCTACCACATTTTAGAATAAATACACAAATAAGCCTTCCCTTTGAACTTCCAGAAGAGAAGAAATGCAAGAATTTCAGGATATGAAATACCTTCTATAGGATGGGTTAGCAATTTTTATGAGCATACATTCTACCTTATATTAAAAATTCTTTCAATAAGCATGCCTTTACCAGATACTGACTACCTGCAAGACACTATGCTAGGCACTATGCAAGATACAAAATAAGTCATGGCAAAAAGTTGAGCCTTCCAGAGACCTCCTCTCTAAAATTTCAGGTTTTCCATAAATGGATTTTCTTGATTGAGTTCTAAGTTTAGGGCTTTTAAGTGTAGCATCTAAAGAACTTCCCATAAAAGCGAAGACATTAAAAGGAGCAAAATCTAATAATAGAACAATTCTTACCTGTATTGTTAAAGATTTATGGCTGAAAAATCCTAGTTAAAGAAAACTAAATGCAGGAGGGAGGGAAGGGGGGGCGGAAATGATTAATCACTTTAAAATACTGACATCACTGGAGACTTTTTCTATTTATTATCGCCACTGAAGTTAACGCTGACCAGGAAGAATTACTCTACATTGCAGGGGCCAGGCTCAGTGTGCCCTGAATAATTACTTGGTACTAGATGTATTGAAGCAGGGTTCGAATTCCCACATGTTGGGATGAGTTCTATCAAGATAATACTGATAAAGGGAAGAATTTGTAATGGATATTGTTGTTGATTTATGTTACCAGAATACCAAACATTTAGTATAAATGGTTTATGTAAAGTTTCTTCCTTGTGATTCTGTCTGTGCAATGCAGAACCACCACACAAGTAATCTGTTCTCTCTAAAAGGGCAAAGTTATAAAGACAGAATCCATGGTTGAGGATGCTGCTGCCCCCCTCCCTACAAACACCTTATTCTAACAGGACTGAACTGATGTAATTGGTTAGAAACACCCTTCCTTACTCCATCCCACTCCAAAAATGAAATGTTATACTAAGCGCAGAAAATATGTCAAATATTCTACACATAATATAAGGAATTATTGAATTGGACTGAAACCACATCTAGGAAAGTGATAGACTTTGGGGGAAAATAACTTAAGCAAAGGGGTGCAGAGTGGGTGGAGGAGACAAAAAAAATTCCTAATTATAAAAGTACAAAAAAGAAAATTTTCTTTAAAATGTGAGACTCTACCTGTATGTGCAAAAATATTTATAGCAACTCTTTTTGTGGTGTCAAAGAATTGGAAACTGAGGGAATGCCCAATAACTGGGGAATGGCTGAACAAGCTGTGGTATATGACTGTGACATATGACAATGGTGCTATAAGAAATGAGGAGAGGATGGTTTCAGAAAAACCTGGGAAGACTCATGTGAACTGATGCAAAGTGAAGTGAGTAGAAGCAGAGGAACACTGTGCATAGCAACAGCAACATTGTAACAATAATCAACTATGAAAGACTTAGTTAACCTGATCAGTATAATGATCCACGACAAGGAATCGTGATGAAAAATGCTATCCACCTTCAGAGAGAAAACTGATGAACTTTAAGGGCAAACTGAAACACATTTTTTCATTTTCTTTTTTTTTTCACTAGTGGGGCCAAGGGATGGGGTGGGGTGCAAAACATGGCTAATATGGATTTTTTTTGCATGACTTCACATGTACAATGAGTATCATATTGCTTGCTTTCTCAGTTGCTGAGGGAGAGGCTGAAGGGAAGGAGAAAATTTGGAACTCAAAATTTTAAAGTGAATGTAAATTAAAAAGTGAATATAAAAAAATAAGAATTAAAAATAAAATGTGAAGCTGCTAAGTGATCCAGTCAATAAAGTAATAGAATTGGAATCAGGAAGACTTGAGTTCAAATCCAGTCTCAGACATTTAATAAGTATGTGACTCTGAACAAGACCCTCCCCCTCAGCCTCAGTTTCCTCATCTGTAAAATAGGGATAATAACAGAACCTATTGTGAGGTAGATAAGGTTGTTGTAAGGATTCAATAATATAATTATGTAAAGCATTTTTAAAACTTTGTAACATTATATAAAAACTGTTACTATTATTGCTATTTAAAAGCATTATCAATTAATCACTAGGGTCATGTTATAGCTTAAGAAACAAATTTAGATTAATTGAACTTCAGGCCAAAATAATTACTTAAATGGTAACAGAAAACCCAGCCCCCATATACCTATTCCAGCAAAAATATGAAATTCCTCTCCTACTAAAAAATGATCAAGAAATCCAGAAACAACCATAACTGACTTCTTCTACACTAGGGCCAGATCAAAAGTTGGGGAGAAGACTACAGGCAATATGAAAGCGGGCTGCTGGTACAGCTAGTGCCAGTGAAGGCAAACAAGTGGGCAGGCCAAATTGTAGCAACCATTACAGCCCTACAATGCTCAGACACCAAGACCATCTAGGATTCAGAGGATTCAAGGTCTTTAGTACTCTGTTCTAAATCTCCACTGAGCGCCCTGAAAGCCCAGGACTCTGAACCTCAAAGATCCAAGGCCCTGACAAAGAGAGGTGGAGGTCAATACAAGAGCTCATATGACACAAATCAAAGACAACCACTCCCCTTTTCAAAAGTAAAAGCCCAGCAAGGGGCAGATCCTGGCCTTTAGCTGAAGAACTAAAGCTAGAGTGATGATTAAACCAAATAAAATACTAATCACTATAAAAAATTCATTGTAGACCCAGATGCACCCAAACCCAAATTAGAAGGAAATAGCTCCATAACAACTACAAGCAGAGACTCAAAGTGAGAAAAAACATGGATTTTCTACAAGGAACACAGGGATATCTGGAAGAACTAAAGCAAGAATTAAAAAAAATTCCAAGAGAAAATAAGTGGAAGAAAAACAAACAGCAAAGAAGAGAAAGTAATATAAGACAAAACAAAAAACTTACCCATGTAACAGACTTTCTGAAAATTAGAATTGTCTAAATGGAAATCAATAAGCCCAAGAAACAGAAAGAACTATTACAACAAAATCAAAATATTTAAAAAGAAGAAAATATAAAATATCTAATATTAAAAATAACTGAACTGAAAAACAGGCCATGGAGAGATAATTTAAGAATCTTTGGACTCCCTAAAAACTATATACATATACATATTTTTTAAAGTGTAGCTACTTTAGATTTATGATTGATTATTCTTAGAATCAGAGGACATGGTAAAAATACAAAGAATCCTCTAATCTCTTCCTGAAAGAAACCTCCCAAAGTCCCAGGAATACTGAGTCAAATTGAAGAGCTTCCATGTCAAAGAAAACATAGTCCAAGTATCCAGAAGGAAAGAATTCAGGTACCAAGGAACCAAATTCAGAATCACATGTGACTTGGCAACTTCTGCTATATAAAAGCAAGAGAAATAGTCTTACAACCAAGAAGAGTTCAGTTTGTGAGCATAATCCCCATAGGGAACAAAATCGACCTGGAATAAAAAAGGACTTGTGAGCCTTTCTGATTAAAATTTAAAAAAGAAAAAGAAAAAGACCAGAGCTAAGTAGAAACTTTGAAATACAAGAGTCAAGAGAAATCTAAAAAATAAATTACTTGAGTATTTGGAAGGGTCTGTATAATCACATAGTGTTAACAGTCTAATAAATAGCAAGTATCTCTTCAGAGCCTCACTATCTTTGGAGGAGACTGAAGGAGTTAAACAAGAAAAACCAAAGATCTGGGAATAGATTGATTCTGATCTGAGGGTTTTATGAAGGGAAAGAGAAAGATGGTAAGAGGAATATGTTAATGATATGACAGAATGGTATTTCTCATAACTGGGGCTATATGAGAAGACTATACAAAAGTAGAGGATGAGGTGGGGGTACTGTGTTTCAGATAAATCTCATGTTTATCTGAAATAGACAAAAGAAGATTGAACATACAAAGAGTCTGATATAGAAATACATCAAATAACACCAAATACATCAAATCCTTCCTCAGACACTAATAGCATGACCATGGGCAAGTCACATAACCCTTCTCAGTCTCATTTTCTCATCTATAAAATGGGAATAATTATAGTATCTACCTCACTGGGGTGTTGTGAGGATCAAATGAAATAACATATATAAAATGCTTTGTAAATCTTCAAATTCTAAATAAATCCTAGTTATTGTTATTATTTTCCAACATATTTAACATTAAGTTTTTTCTATTTAAGGATATTTTATGCAATAATCTCCCTTTTCATGACACATTGTAACACAAAGTACCACACTGCATTTGTCTCCCATATTATTTCTACCTTCAGGCGCAAAATTTATGAAAATAAAATGGGCCACTAGAATGCATCCATTTTGATAGTAAAGGGATTACCACAACACAATCAAATTTAGGTTTTCAAATAATGGTTTCTTTAAAGCAAAGATAAGCACCACTATTATTTTATTAATGAGAAATAGTTTCCTGTTGATGTCTGCATCAAAAAAGTATGACTTAACTATGCAAGTCTATTTCCTACTATGTGGCTGGTCATTTTCCCTTGCAATCTGACATATGTGCCCACGTGTTTGAAATTCACAGAGGAGGAAGACACTGTACGAGAAGGGTCTATAATTGCTTCCAATGGGTTTAATCTTTCCCCATTGTTTAAAACAAAACTTTAATACCCACGTGTGTGTCTGTTGTGGGATTGAAAGGAATAGGAAAGCTATGGCTTTGTGTAGGAGAGACTAATTTCAACAAAAGTGTTCT